ACAAAATGAAGAACTGCAAACTGCAATAGCAGAAGGTATATTTTCAATAAAATGAGCCCAATATTGAAAAATGGAAAAATCTCAAAGATAACTAAAACAAAAAGTTTTTAAAAGGCTTAGTGTGATCAACCCATTTCAATAAACAACTGTGAATGGTCGACAACTACTTTAAGGCATTAGAGGAACAAAATTCTGGTTTCCTTGGAGTTGGAGACTGTTGAGAAGTTTATGAAAGGAAAAGAAATCAAACGAGGCAGTGTCTGAAAGAACATTTTTTTTTCTCATGCTAATATATCAGACCTGGGTGTTTGGCATATTTTCTTGACAACTAATATGTTTATATTCGCAATAAAGTTTTGCATTTCCGCGATTCTCAGGACAGATGGCCTAAAATTCTCTTGTGGGCCAGATATAATTGTTTGCTGGGTCGGATGCGGCCCGTGGGCCTTGGAGTTTGACACCTGTGCTTTAGAGCATTTGCCCAGAGAAATGAGTGCCAAACCATGATCGCGATGTCTATTTCAGATCTTGTACCTGAAGAAGAAGGATGGTTTTATCACGATCATCTTTATGGTGACTACATTTTACAACTACAATAGTGATGATGATGATCCTCCTGCTGTGGATTATTATCATTATCATTGGTATCCACTACTTTCATTATTGTTTTCCACAATTACTATCATTATCATCATAATTATAATTACAAGCATTATATTGTTATTATTATTATCATCATTACTATCCATCATCAATGCCTTTCACCCCTGGCAGGGTATAGGCCACATACAAGCTCCTTCCATTTATCTCTGTTCTGGCAGCTCGTTCCAAGTGAGCTTCATCTCTCTCATGTCCCTTTCCACGCATCTCCGGCATGTTTCCCATGGCCTACCCCTGCCTCATGCTCCCTGTGGGTTCCACTGCAGTAACGGTCTTGTGATGTTTCCGCTGGGCTTCCTTAAGGTGTGTCCCATCTATCATCACTTTCTTAGTTCTATTTCTACTTCTATATATCTTTTTGTCCTGCCCTTTCATTTCCCACAGCTGTTCATTTTTTATTCCTGTCACTTAATTCTTAAAATACTCCTCATACATCTGTTGATGAAAGTCTGGACTTTATTCAGTACTGTCTTTGTTGTCTTCCAAGTTTCGCAGCCGTAGAGAAGCACAAACTTGACGTTGGAGTTCAAGAGTCAATTATAATTATTACTATTATTATTATTATTATTATTACTATTATGCCTCCAAGGCTTCCTAATGAGCAACAGAGAAGAAAACTACAAGGAGTGCGAGTGCATTACATACACAGAAAGGCATATTAATAACAACAGTAATAATTGACTCTTTAATTCCAACATCAAGTCTGTGATAAGGCTCAAAAAGGATGTCTATCAGAAAATTTACCCTGCATGCCGGGCGTGACTCAGCATGAAACAGGTCAAAAAGTTAAGTACACCTACTCGTACTTTTACAAATCTAAATTTATTATCATCATCGAATCATCACAATTTCAATAACGTGTTCAGGCGTTTGAGGCTCAGGCCCGACGTTGTGTCCGTGGGAAAAGAACATTTACATTAATTTTCCCCACTTTACCCAGGTGTGAATGAGTACCCAGCCATAGACATTGAAAGATCTTGTCAGTATGTTAGCGTTTTAGCGCTTGCACTGTATGCTTCCCAGGAAGTTGAGATTATTTCAGAATGGTATCAAGTGTCCTCGGGGGGGAGGAGAGAGAGAGAGAGAGAGAGAAGAAGAAGAAGAAGAAGAAGAAGAAGAAGAAGAAGAAGAAGAAGAAGAAG